GATGTAGCAGTCGCATACAAGAATATCAGCAGAGCAGGAGATGACGATGAATGTGGATTTGGATTAAATGACAAATCTTGGTCATTAGATTATGATGAAAAGGGTTTTACATTTTGGTTTAACAACATAAAAACCTTCATCTCAGCTCTTCCTTCCTCCAGAGTAGGAGTGTACCTGGATCACAGAGCAGGTATTCTGTCCTTCTACAGCGTCTCTGAAACCAGGACTCTCCTCCACAGAGTCCAGACCACCTTCACTCAGCCTCTCTATGCTGGACTCTGTGTTGGTTCTGGATCATCAGCAGAGTTCTGTAGTTTTTAGGAGACAAAGATAATTTGTTTAAAGATGTGACAGAGCTGTCTTTTTAAATTAACGGGTTGCCAAACTTAACATTAATCAGAGTTTTGTTTCATCTGGCCTCTTTCATAACAAAGTTTTCCATCTTTACTAGCCAACATCTTTTTGTCCACCAGAGGCTGCTATTTACTGATATATTCCACCACCCAGCTCCTGTCAGTCAGCAGCTTTTACACTCTGTTTTCAGGCCTATTAAGAACTTATCAGGACACTTTCCAGATGTATTTTCTCTTGAATTGCAGAAATTATACTTTCGATAAGCTTTTCAACTTACACAGAAAAAAATATACTTCAACTCAAAGACTAAAGGAAAAACATACTGACATAATGTCAGCATTTTTCTGCTGAAGTGGCAGAGCAGTTTGTTATTTAATTGTCTGTATTTTTTTAATAGGACATGATGCATCTATTCATTTTTCTTATAGTTTCTTTTTAGGGATTATGGTGAGTTTAATATTCACAGAATATAAAGATATTCTTCATGTTAATAATTGAAACATGGTTTTCACTGGATTAACTTTCATTATGTGTAGGGAGACTATGTTTCTTATTCAAGGCAACAGATACTGAAGTTGCCACTTTTGCTTGAAAATCACATGTAACTTGGGGAATAATTTATTTTTTAAAAGTCAATCACTTTTGATTTAATTTGACCTTTAACTCCACAGTTGGGCTGAATCTTTGTTGTATTTGAAAAACCAGTCATTCTTTCAACTTTTCACTGAAAATGATCAAATTTTAGCTCAATAAAGTTTATCAAGACCAAATAGCTCTGAATTCATTTGAAAAATTAATTTCCTTTAAGGTAAAAATCTACAGAAGTACAAGAGACCCTGAATTTGAATGAGAAGGAAAACTATCTTAATTCTTTTAAAATTAATGTTAATTTTGGGAAATTAAGACAAAACATGAATTAGGTGAAACTATATTTGAAATAAGAGGAACAATAGAAGAATTTATTTTGCTGCGTGACATTGCTTAGCTCAGGCCAACTTTTCTCCCTATCAAGTCCATTCAGGGTAAGTTTTGACTTCTTTATATTTGGTTCAAATAAATAAACACATCTCTATATCAATGTCAGGGATGGACATATTAGTTAAGATAAGAAAACAACTGCTTACATAATTAGCTATGACGATTCTTCCATGATAGGGATAGATTGCGGTTGGTGTAACAGTAGAAGGACCGGTCAGCCTTTCTGAGAGCGTCTTTGACCCTCCATCAGCAGTAAGTGGGTGATACCTGGAGTTCCTGGAGGAAACAACCAGAGCCAGCATACCAACAGCTGTGCTTGCCTGAGCTCAGAGAAGAAGGGGCTGGCAAAGCTGCATCAGTATCAATGAGAGGAGAACCCAGACAACTATACAATCCAGCTGCCCTAGTTGGTTTTCCCTTTGAGGTCAAAGGGCTGCAGGTCCTTACTGACCTCAAGCGATAGGAACAACTCAGCCGGGAGGCTCACAGCGTTGAGAGTTTGGGCTCAGGTAAACGTTCCATTGTCTGTGGAGGCTAGCAAACCACCAGTGGTGACCCTGTCCAAGAGAGGCATTGAAGCAAAGACAGCATCTCGGGAAGAAAAAACTTTTTCTGTGCATACGGACGTCAAGGATTCCTGATATGTTGGGGGAGAGCTTGATAAAAAAGTTGATATCTTTATGTCCCTGCCCTCCATATTTCTGCCAAGTTTTAGATGGGCGTGGCAGTGGATTTCTTGAGTGTGGCTGCTGATAAGCTTATTTACAGAAAACTGTTTGGTGAACAAGCACGAAGAGCTTTTTGGGGAAAATGGAAAACCTGAAGGGAATATTTGAACCAGTGTTGACATTTCTAAGAAGAATTGAAATAGCTGAAAAAGGAGTTCAGCTGGAGACAGAAACCTTCTGCTGCTGCATCTGCTTGGAGGTCCTGAAGAATCCGGTGACTATTCCCTGTGGACACAGTTACTGCATGAACTGTATTAAAGCCCACTTTGATGGAGAGGATCAGAAGGGAGTTCACAGCTGCCCTCAATGCAGGGAAAGCTTCATACCAAAGCCTGTCCTGGTAAAAAACACCATGTTAGCAGCTTTAGTGGAGCAGCTGAAGAAGACTGGACTCCAGCCTGCTCCTGCTGATCACTGCTATGCTGGACTTGAAGATGTGGCCTGTGATGTCTGCTCTGGGAGAAAACTGAGAGCCAGCAAGTCCTGTTTGGTCTGTGTGGCCTCTTACTGTCAGGAACACCTTCAGCCTCATTATGAGTCACCTCCACTAAAGAAACACAAGCTGGTGGAGCCCTCCAAGAAGCTCCAGGAGAACATCTGCTCTGTCCATGATGAGGTGAAGAAGATGTTCTGCCGCACTGATCAGAAGTCCATCTGTCTTGTCTGTGCGATGGAGGAGCATAAAGGCCACCACACAGTGTCAGCGGCAGCAGAAAGGACTGAGAGGCAGAGAGAGCTGAAGGGAAGGCGGCAACAAATCCAGCAGAGACTCCAGGACAAACAGAAAGATGTGGATCTGCTCCAGCAGGAGGTGGAGGCCATCGATCAGTCTGCTGACAAAACAGTGGAGGACAGTGAGAAGATGTTCACTGAGCTGATCCGTCTCATCCAGAACAGACGCTCTGATGTGGAGCAGCAGGTCAGATCCCAGCAGCAAACTGCAGTGAGGGGAGTCAAAGAGCTTCAGCAGGAGCTGCAGCAGGAGATCACTGAGCTGCAGAGGAAAGACGCTGAGCTGCAGCAGCTCTCACACACAGAGGACGACAATGAATTCATACAAAAGTACTCCATACTAACATATTTCGAGAACTCTGTGTACTTCCTTGCAATCCAATCATTGTATCTGCAGTATTTTGGAAACGTGCAGAAGGCTTTCTCACGGATGAAAGATAAAGTCCAGGAAATTGTAAGCAAAGAGTGCGCAAATATCTCTCTGAAAGTCACTCAGGTTGATGTTTTACTGTCACAAGAGCCGAAGACCAGGGCTGAATTCTTGGAATATTCCCAACAAATTTATCTGGATCCAAACACAGCACACAGACACCTGTTACTGTCAGAGGGGAACAGGAAGGTGACAGTACTGGATCAACCTCAGTCTTATCCTGATCATCCCGACAGATTCACTGTCTGGTCTCAGGTCCTGAGCAGAGAGGCTCTGACTGGGCGTTGTTACTGGGAGGTGGAGAAAGGTTTGGGAGGAGTTTCTGTGGTGGTTACCTACAAAGATGGAAAGACTGTGAATGAGAGATTTGGAGAAAATGAGAAGTCTTGGGCTTTCTGTGTTTTTAAACGTGGCTATGAATTCAGACACAACAAGATGAAAGCCTCCATCTCAGCTCCTCCTTCCTCCAGAGTAGGAGTGTACCTGGATCCCAGAGCAGGTATTCTGTCCTTCTACAGCGTCTCTGAAACCAGGACTCTCCTCCACAGAGTCCAGACCACCTTCACTCAGCCTCTCTATGTTGGAGTTCAGCTTCATGGTCCTATTGGAAACAGTGCTGAGTTCTTTGAGGCCAATTAGATTCAAATAACAAAAATATGTCTTGGTTTTAAAGCTTAAAATTATAAATGTTTTCACTTTCGATAGTACCCTCCTTTTAAAACATCTCTCCATCCATTATCGTTACCGCTTATTCCCTAATGGGGTCGCAGGGGAACTGGAGCCTTCTTGATGCTAAATTTCCAACATTTTAAAGCAAGTTTTCTGAGTGTGAAGATTTGTCACTCTTTTGGGCTGTCTTAGCAAATGTGTACTGGTATCCTTTGGACAGCAAGTTACTCCTTATTCATCACTGTTTGGTGAAAGTTTTATGAGTTATGTTTGTGTGACGATAGTGGCATTGTGTTTGAGGACAGCCTGAATCAGCAGTTTAGCACCATCTAACACCTTCGGAGAGAAGTGGAACAGAGACTATGAGCGCTCATTATGAACATCAGTATAGATGGATTGCATGCTCACAAAGTCAGATTTACATTTTCAGTAGCTATGTGTTTGACATTAATATTAATCTGCAGTGACATTTCCAATGTGTCCAGTGTGTACTCTGCCTGTCCCCACCAACACCCAGGACAGCTAGCCCCCCTTTAACCCTGGATCAGATTCAATTCATACAGAAAATAGATGGATATCTGGATGCGGCATACAGCATATGTTAAAATCGGATTATCAACTACCAACAGCGATGTATGGGTGACTCATTCAGCTCTTTTCAGACCAGATTCATTCTACTACATTTTGTAAATTTCAAACCTAAATTAAGTCATTAATAATCTGTTGGGATACATTTTAGATGCATCCATCCATCCATTTTCTGTGCCGCTTATTCCCAAAACATTTTAGATGCATTGTTTTTTAATTGCTGGGAATTGATATTGTTGGTTTGTTTTAACACAGTCAATGACAAAAGAATAAGAAAACATAATATCAGGTTCAGTTCTGTTGATGTTGTTTGTGATGATTAAAAATCCACTTTAAGAGGATTTTTCTAAATATCTTAAAGTTTTCAGGGTGAAATTGTCTTCTATTGTTCCTTCAGTTATAATTTTTCAAAATTAAGCCCAGTAACCACATAGAATAAATGTATTGCTCCTTGAAAATCAAACAGAAAATGCAAATACAATGGGGATGTCATTATTATTTAATATTAGCTATAAAGCAAAGTAGTTTAGCTATTTACCGTAAAATGTACTTAATTTGGTGTCAATCACATGTACTCTGTTGTTTTATGCACTCTGTAATTTGCATTGATGCCGTAAATTCACTTTTATTTGATTTATTGGAATTCTTACCTTTTAAATTCACACTTAAACTTAATTTGTTGGCTATTATTATAGTTTAATTGTTCCAAAGTTGTTTTTCCATGTTGTTGCTTTGACATCATGGGGTGGTTGGGAAATTTCAGTGTGTGTTTAAAGAATATCTGATTAATAAATAAATAAATCGACTGTCAAAGTACTTCCGTTTTTTTCTTCGGTTAAGCACATTATTCCTTTATTTTGAAATCAAGATGGCGGCACGTCCGGTATCCCTCTCTCGCTTACGCCACCTAACTGGACGATGGGGGATGTGAGATGAGACTTTAAACCTTAACCCTTTCGTTTCTAGGTTTTACCTTTTTTTTTCTTTTTTTTTCCAAGTTTTAATTTTGGGGCCGTAGATGTCCCTTTAAGGCTGCAGAGTGTCCGGTTAGAGGATCGTCCCGGGCTCACTGTGTTTGATATTGTTTGCGTTATCTCTGCGGGACAGGAAGTAGCCGTCCCGGGTGTGCTTTTCAAAATAAAGCGTAACAGTGGTTCAATTCGCCTTAATTGTATCTTCTAAAGTGAGTGCGGTAGGCACGACAAAGCAAAATTATCTGTATTTCGTGTTCAAAACAATTCAAGGTCCTTAAAAGGGAAAAAACATTGAACAGTTAGAGCTTAAAAACAGAACTCAAGGAAAAACATGATTAAAAATATTAAATAAAGTGGAGATCTGCAGCTAACGTGCCCTCAGTAGTCATATACACAGCTAAATAGAGCTCCTTTCAGCCTGGGTTTAAACATTGTGAGAATTGACAGTCTTTTTCAGGAAGACTTTTGCCAAGCATAAAGCTCAAACCTAACCTCTCTTGGTTGGGCTCTGACTCTTGGGCACCATAAGGAAAACACTTTCTGAGGTTCTCCGAGGTTAATAAAAATTACATGAAGTACAACAAACCAAGATAGCAGCTATAAGCTCAATAAATAAACTACAGTTTCAAATTTACAGGCACCAACGGTCTCCAATAACCCCCCGTTAGAACTGTTACCTGTAATTAACCTGGCGGTTTTGCCAGCAGAAAATTCGGGTTCATCTCCAGGACGACGAACAAAACATCTGTCCAACTTTTGTAACTTGGCTTTCTTTTGCTTTTCTTCTCGTTTTGCCGCTCCATTTTTCTGCTCATATTAGCTTGCTCCTTAAAAAAAAAACGGTCCACTCGGTTAACAAGCTGTTGCCTAGCGACCGACTATAACACCGGTGGACGGTTGGTAACGAGTTTTACCCAGAATGCACTTGGAGAAAATGTCTTCGATCAGCTTGTAAGTGTTGTTCATCGTAAAGTTGAATGTAAGAAAGAAAAAGAGACCAGTCATGAAGAAAAATATTTTATTAAACATATTACACCCACTACGACGCTAAAGTCAGTCGGTGTTGTTGAGTTTAACACCGTTTTTTAACCGTTTATCCTTTTTGGTTTTAGCTATCCTCATCGGGATATGAGCAGAAGAGGGCTTTTTGCTCCAGGCCTCTTTGGAAATGGTAAAAAATCGCCTCCCTAAAGTCTCACCCTCTCTGAAACGATCCCCTAGCCCCCCCACGAAGATCCGCCTCCGGCCTGGGGGTGTCTAAAGCAGTGTTTTTCAACCTTTTTTGAGCCAAGGTACAGAATATAAGGTATAATATAAGGTATAATTTCGAGGCACACCAACAACCAAAAATGTCAAACAAATCTGTAGCCGCCTATAGTAACACTATAGTTATTCTTATTTTATTCTTATCTTAAGTGTCTCGAATAGGAATCAAATAAACACAAAAATGTATTTTTATCTTATTTTATATTTCTTCTTTCAAATTGCACTTAACATGTCCACTTCAATATGCAAAATTATATACAAGATATAGTCATAAGGAATTATTACATGATTACTCCACCAGTCACTAGAACAGCACAGACACTGAAAAATGGAATATTATTTGCAGAAAATTAATTCCTTATCAAAAAGTCTTTTTAGATCAATTAGGTGAAACAGGATGATTTTCTAAGGCACACCTGACCATCACTCGCGGCACACTAGTGTACCGAGGCACAGTGGTTGAAAAACAAAACACTGCTCTATATAATAGGGCTGCAACGATTCGTCGACGTTGTCGACAAAAGTCGATAATAGAAAAAGTCGACAATGAATTCCATTGTCGACTTTTGTCGCCAGACGTGTTTTTCCAACAGAGTGAGACATCTCACTTAATTACAATCTGCCCAGAGTCACCTGCACAACAGCGTCGCGGTTACAGAAATGGCGGCGTCCAACACGCGTACAAAAACTTCCAAAGTTTGGGAGCATTTTATCCTTGATACAACGAGTAAAAAAAAATTACGTGCAAGGTTTGCAAAACAGACCTTGCGTATCACGGCAGCACCTCGGAGATGCACGAGCATTTAAAAAGAAAGCATGTTGGGCACTTAAATGAAACGGAGTCTGACTCGCCTCGGTAAGATTTAAGCAACAATAATGCTAATATGTTTTGTCTTTTATGTACGTAATACATTTTCTAAGCGTTTTTTCACTTTAAAAGAGAGCTTTAACGTTATGCCTGACAAACGCATTCTTATTTACGTTTTGTATCGGCTGCAAAGTTGAATAAAAGATGCATTTTTCATTGAAGTACCCATTTTTCTTGTGTTTATCATTTTCCACTTAACTAAAGCAACTTTATGCTACTTTTAAGAAAAAGTGAATAACTATTCGATTAGTCGACTAATCGTTTCAACAGTCGGTGACTAGTCGACTATTAAAATAGTTGTTAGTTGCAGCCCTACTATATAATGAGTTGCAGTAATCCAAACGAGATGTGATATTATATATAAATATTAACGATCCCCATCCCTAATTGGCGTGCGTTGGTGTTGGGTCTAAATACGACTCCTAGTTCCTCACTATCAAGAGTT